AGGCTCTCAGACATGCATCATGTACTGCTTGTCCGAAAGGTAGGTGTCTATCGGTATGAGAGTATGTTTTTGTTAATTCTCTTCTTCAAGCGATACACTTAAGGGGCTGTGGTGACTTTGGCTGGTAGAGCACTCTAAGTTGGAAGAACTCTTAACAAGAAAAGTGGGAGCGCACCTGAATGTTCGCTATTCGATATCCATGCCCCCATACACGTTCTGGCAAAGCAGTAAACAGACTCTAACCTTATGTTCGTTTTGAGGACTAATTAAAACGAAACTAGGTAAATCAAGAAATATGTGAAGACAACTTACTATCATTGATAGGATAAACATCTCTCCTGGTTACACAATGAGTAGATAATACTGTACTTTATTACCTATACCACCATTTCACACGCATTTATTTTTATGGTTGTAAAACGGGTGGATTCTTGATATTTTTTATCAATCAGTGTTACGAAAAGGGACTTTTTCCCGATAGGAATCACAACTTTTGGTTGCTGTCACAAGTCATCACAACTGTTTGACAATGTTTATTGTTCTTTGTGATTCCTAACTAAACACACACTATGAACTGGTACACTAATGTAGTATGGGCTATCGACATACTCCATACTTCTCAACACATTCATCTCTTTTTTCCACAATATATTCTTAAAATAATACTCGCAATAGGTGCTCAAACGCCTTTAAGCGTGATCCATTCTTTTATACGTGTTACCTTCGGAAGCTCTAGGTGGAGCTACATGATGGTCAGCAGACCGGTTTCATAAACAAGTTCTATTTTTTATATTTCTCATAATCCCACTGGGTTTTAATGATCACTGTTGTCTGTAAAATGGTTATTTTGTCTTAATTTTGATCCCCCGTCACTTTCATCCAGAGCTTGCGCTTCATACCAGTTACGCCTCTCAAACACTTCTCATTATCTCCTGACCAACTGCCACGAGAACAGACACCTTATATATTTGTTATTCATGTACGTTGATGGTAATAGTCTAGTCATTAGTCGATCATTTTTGGCATACATCGTTTTGATTATGTATATCATATTTCCTCAATATTGGTAATTTCTTATAATCGTGGGTTGCGAGCCTAGAAAAATACTGGAACACGCATCCTGCAAGCACTTTACTTAACGTCCCATATTAGTTTTCTGTACATTTGGGTGTCTATCATTGCTCTATATTCCTTTTAAAATAAGTCTATTGCCATTTCGATATTGTCGAACGGTTGTTCCACCACAATATCCCCAAAACAATGCGTAAAATTGTATGAGGCAGATTTACCAAATGTTTAGTTTATTTTGAGAATCCAGTTCTCAGTAGGCGATCACTGATGTTAGACACCGTTGCTTAAAGCCAGATGTCCTCAGACTTCCAGATGCTCAGAAGGGTTAACACAGATGAATGTTGTTCTTCGTGCTAGCCCTCAAATCTGCCTGAACGCTTCTACCCTCCATTTTCAGAAAGGCACCGATAGGCAGAACTGTTTCCCAACAGTCATGACTCTAATAGAGTCACCACTAACCCACAATCTAGAGCTAAGTTGTCTGTAGTAAAAGTTATAACTGACGTTTCACTCTGATATATTCCCGACTTTGTCCATTTTCCCCTAAACAGTCTTTAGCTTAGGTCGTGCTTCATCCGGTTCTATGCAGCACCTTACATAAATATCCGATGGCATATCACTAACGTGTAAAAGGTCTTAGAATCAATATTTGATCGTAGAATTATCAGCCAACGTTTTCCCGTAATGATGATCCATAGTGTTTTGAATATTCTAAAGAGTGTCTTTCTTATAAGCGAATAAATGTTCCTCTAGTCTGGTGGAAAATTCGCATACTAGTACATTCAACTTAGGTTACCAAACACAAACGTTCCACTTGTTCTTGTCTAAGACATGCTGATGGGTTTTAATGAACTGATTGGCTGTAAGGGTATGATTATTTACGACTCAACACAGACTTCGAAAACGAAGCATACCACCGTCACCTGGTGTGCATAAAAAAAGAAAATACCTAACACGTAAAAATAGATTTTGATTTTTTGTACAATATAAAAAAAGTACGAAAAACAGGAAGCTTACAAATGAAACATAAAATTAACTAGACAGAATGAATACTGAAAAGATACAGTGCTAGACAGTTGGAGATGCGACCTGGTCTTTGGTGGACATATTCGCTTCCGATAAACTTGAAGACATTTGATTTAAAAGATCCATAATCAAATTTCCGTGATCACCGGTAAAGTAAACTTTGGAGTTTTGTGCCAAAGCTTGGTATTTTGCCAATTCCAGATAAGCTGGGGTTAATTTAAGGTGGCTGGATTCAGCCTCTTTCATGGCACGATAATATTCTGCATCTGTAAGCGCTTTGGATCGGGCCAATTGTGTGGCATCTGCAACTTCACTGATTTTTCGTTCATGCTCTTGAGCAACTAATTTAGCTCGCCATTCTATTGCAGAAACCTCAGCTAACTTTTCAGCCTCTAATTTATTCAAAAAACAGAACACAGAATATAAAAACTTCTATCAACAAGTAGCCTCAGTTAACAAAGATTTATTACTTGATGTAATGTTGTGGAGTATGAGAAACATTGAAAATTATTTTTAAAGAAACATGATAAACCTATTCACTAAGTATCGATCCATGCTATGGATCAATGATGTCCACAAATCCTTATCACATAATGAAAATTCAGAATGATAAAAATGCTACAAACGGAATCACTTAGTCGTTTTCCTAAATTCTGACAAGCAATAAAACATTGCACATTTTCTATTCTATTGCTATTGTAACCTTGAATTGTATAAACACTAAAATGACCGTAATTCTAGTATTCCTACCCTTTACGTTCAAAAATAATACTTGCCTATTGCCTATATTTCATTGTTATTGGAATAAAGGGGTTTGTAGAGAATGGTCAATTTGTAGTTGAAACCATCAACTGACTTCATGTAAAAAAAGTGATCAAAAATTACGAGGAATCGGGTAGTTATAACTCGTTTGAGTTAAAGTACTACATCCAGCAGTGACTGTGACACCGACCGCTTTGAGAACTCACAGTGAATGCATCACAGAGTTATTCTATTTACACTTGGAATTACACACAATTCCTATGCTTACACTATGACTGAGGTTCTGTTTATTTACTTAGTTTTTCATCAAAAATTACTGATAACATTCTAGAAGAAAAAATAAACAATTTTTTTACAGGTACAGCGATACATAAAAATATGATTGTCAAGTTTTGAAAATGAATTCGTTGAAAAACGATTCTTTTACTGAAATTCTATAGGGATAATAAATTTCAAGGTAAAATGGTCATTTAGAAACATTAAAAAGACTAAAATAGTTCTATGAATCATTCGAGTTCTAAAAGTTCAACAAGAATATTGTTAAATAAGAGGTTTCACTGGATAAAGTTAACCGACCATAAAATAGAGTCGACACCATATTTCACGCATAATTCAATCTGCATTCTTATTTCTTACGGTTTAATAATTATTAATAGGAAGTAGTCTGAGCTAGATATCCAACAAATTTCTCATTTTACTCAATTTTTATTACTCTGTGACAGCAAACCATCTATTCCGTTCTGTTATATTTTTATTAATATATTTCAGTTTACTTTCTCATTTGTAAATGTTCTCACTTCTTCTAATCGTTTAGTCTAATGGCGTGCACTACTTTATGAGACTTTGTTCACTTTGAATTTAGAAGATAAATTGTTGTCTTTAATTACTGATATTATCTGTCCAAACCAATTATGTACTGCTTGTCTTTTTTTCTACTTATTTAAAAGATGATTCTTTCAATCGGGTAGGGGATACAAGGAAATTTTGTAGTTTAAAGTTTGAAAAATGTCACTGCTTATTTAATCAGCTACTAAAACTATCTTAGTTTTGGAGAACCCTCGATATTTAGCTTTAAAATACTCATACAGGTAACTCAGTCGCACTAAATAAGAATATTTGTATGAATTCCAGGGGATGGCTTCAAATTTCTAACTCCAAAAAGATATGTCTTATGAAATGATATTATTAATTGACTATAAGTAAAATCTAACAGTCCATAAAAGTAAAAAAAATGTATCAGTAGTTTATCGTTTTTTCTTGTAAAGTAGTGGTGGGAACAAGATATACACTTAATAAAAATTAGAAGGATCTAACCCGTCGCAAGTATGTTTGCACGACATGTATAACGGTAAACAGATTGTTATGACAGAATTAAGTTCTAAACTAGGAATACGTGCATGACACAAATAAACTATATTCAAGTGACAAATTACATAAAAACACCTTACACAAGAAAACCCACTTTCTTAAATGAATAAATGCATTGTTAGTAAAGGGCTAGTGATTCATGGAGTGAAGTAATTTAATTAGTAAACAACATTATCAACTAACCAATTACAGCACGTCGACGTTCAGTTTCAGCTTCTCGTTCAATTAATTTTTGATGCTGTTCAGCTATAAGTAGTTTGGTTTTTTCCGCTTCCATAGCTTCATAATTACGTCTTATAGCTTCAGGAATTTTAGGTTTGGTGACTCGTACTGCTTGAATATATAAGCCAGGAGCCATTAGAACTAGATCAGCTTGTAATGTTCGCTTTAAAAATTCATCTATTTGATCTATTAAGAAAAATTATACAAATTTTGTTTATCCAACACTTTTTTGAAATATGAAAAGTGAATAACAAACTATAAATTATCAATCTTATGAGTATTAAATGCCTAAAATTATTCAGCATAAAAATAGACTATTAGATTTACATTTCTAAACAAGAAATGAGGAAGTTACGTCAAGTAAATGGTGCTTAAACCAGGTTAATGGTTAAAATGAAAGTTCAGTTAGATCAGCTGGAAAACTATATTTCCAAAGTAATAGATCTTAACGATTCTGAAGGATCGAACAATGTGTAGATCTAATTTGGTTAGCAATTCCTACAGAACTGCACCTCTTGATGTTGACCCATTAGCTTAAGAATTAAACATTCACAAGGTTTCAAGGCTTATTTCAGAAAGCTGGATCAAATCGATAAATGAAAGCAAACAAGCTAATTGTAACCTGGCTGAAATGACAAAATAATAATTTGAGCCACCACTTAAATAAAAAGCCTCAAATAATTATGATGTTTGGTAGTGCAGAAATAGGTTGGAAGAAAGCTAGGGGCGGTCAAATGAAAGTATAACATCAGTCCATGAAGTCATTGACTAGTGGTTGGAGGCATGTTAGTAAATATAGATTGATCATGTGATTGACCTCTGCATGATAACTGCGATCAATGGTTGAAGACTTTGAGGGACATGGATAAGAACCTTTTACAAAAGTACATATACATCCACTCATTATCTCATTTTCGATCATGTATTCTAGGAATTCTCCTCTATACCTTCCCCCTCTATTTCTTAAAACCACGTTTAAAAAGTTTGATTTTTTTATTTTTTAACATTTGTATTAAATTGTTTCGATCATTTTCGTCATTTCTAAGGCATTTTACTGATCAAATATGAAGACTTAGTTTAAGGCAGGTATGTGCCACGCTTTCTGTGTTGATAATGACTGCCAGTTGACTTGTTAGCTATCAACAAATATATATTTGATAAAGCTATTCTGAAACCATGTGAAATTGAAACGTTCAGTTTCTAGAAAAAGCAGTGTAGACTGAACAATAGCTAGATACGACCCTGTAAACTCTAGCTATTAATATGTTTATCGTCTATCACAGAATCCTATTTAAGATATAAGTGAACTAATTTGAATTGATTTTTTATTTGTGTCAGAAAATACTATATTCGAAAGTATCCTAATTGAAACAGCAATAATCAACTGAAGAATTATTAAGTTTCTACGTGCATTCATTTAGAATAATAAGCAATTAGATTAGGAAAACGGAACTTTTTAATCATCTAAAGCCACGTTTTAGAGGAATGAAATCTAAGCATTCCTAAATAAATAAGGAAATGATAGAGTGGTACGAGTCATGCTTTGTGATACAGCCTACGATGGTTTATGTTGGGGACGTTAGATCCCCAGAACTCGCTTGATAAATGCCTTATCTTGGATTTCACGTTTGCGAGCATGGGCTGATCAGTTGACCTTGAGATCTCGTTTCTCACCAGGAGAATCCTTGGCTGTGATTGGCTGCTGTGTATTTTAGTGTGTTATTTTTGTGACTGTCCCAAGAACGTTTCTAGGATGTATAAATAAACGAGATTTGTGTGCTTTATTGTATTGTGATTGCTGGGTGTTCTACGCTTATCAAGACTTCTCTTTTGCCGTTTTCGGATAAAGGTAGCCTACCTGGACGCTTGTTCATTGTCTCGTTCGCGTTTATCGACTAAGGTGAACCCGTAATAGCTTCAAGCGTACCTAGTGACGAACCTAACAGTTTACATTTACAAATAGTTGGTAGATTCCTGTAATGCAAGACAGAATCAATACGAACTAGACAGAGAGGACGACTAACGTATCACACAGCTTCAGCATTAATAATCTACACGCGAATAAGCAGGCAGACAGAACATTCGTGAGCGTTTAATTGTTCCCAACAGAAGTCAAACTTGTAATAAAAACAACCCTCTATGTGGCAACAACCAACTTCCATACACAGTAAAAATAACAAACCAAAAATGATAATAACCAGTCAGAAAACGGCAGAGGCCATTAGGGATGTTAACAGCGAATTACATATATTTTAGAACTGTCACTTATTACCAAAAGTAGTAAGAAAACTGTATAATTTGAGGTTTCATAAGCAGTATGGATACAGAAAGAAAAATCAAATAAAAGGATCTTTCGTAAATCGTAGAGATGAAAACAAACACTTACCAAATAGTTCAATGTACACTTCTTGTAGTGTATGTATACTACAAAATTGATTTAGTTCATGATGAATTTTATTGTATATTAGTGTTTTGTCATAATCAGCTGTAAAATTTTTGACAATATCATGAACTAGAAAGCAGATGTAGAATAGAACAAACACATATATAGAAATGGTTTACATAGTCAAAAAATTTATTAATTAACTAATTAAACATTTTAGGTATGCATAAAAAAAAGTGTTTACTGAAAATTTACTTGATGACTAAGAGAGTAAATAATACTAGTTTAGCGATTTCTGTACAAGTCCTGTTTGTACATGTATTATTCAGGATTTGAAACATACTTTGTCACAAGAATATTGCTAATTATGCAGTTATTCAAACAAGTTACGGATGATGATAATTGATTAATCAGTAATTTAGTACATATTTACGCAAAATAAATATTTGAATTTAACCTACTAAAAGAAAACCGTTATGAGAGAAATTCGTGTACTGTTACGGGTATGGGGGCGGATGTCACTTCCCGGCTGCCCACACCGTGGAAGGGTGTTTCTTGAGGAGCCTGAAAAGGAAGGTAAGTTAGCGTTGGTCTTAAAGACCTGGGAGTCTGACCGCACAGCCATTTTATGAGTTTTTGAAGTGTTAACTCCGTTCTTGTTTAAAAGGCCTTTCTGCCCAGAGACGGATATCCGTGAGGTAAAGTGACATTTTTAGGGTCGACCTTTTCTAACCCTTCCTTCCTTGTGAGAAGGCAGCATCGCTGCAGATGCTGGTTGTCCGAGGGAAACACCTTACTGCTGTCACACCCCTCTGCAGTCAGAAGTACGACTTCTCCATCAGACCTTTAGTCTCACCGTTCTCCAATCGACCTGCCTGGCATGGTAGGACCTAAAGGAACAGATGTTGCAGCCAATCTAGCTCGACCGGATCATCACGATAGGTGAGCCCGACCACCACGTCAAGGTTGCAGCTACGGTCGAGCGTAAGAGAAGTTCAAATTTCGTAGTGGTCGACTGGACCACATAATTAAATATACTTGAGCAGATTAATAGTTTACAACGTGAATAAATCCTTTTAGTGAACCGTATTACATATTATTTTCAGTATAATCTTACTAAGAATCTTTTCTCATTTTTCGCGATACTATTTGCTTATATCCTAATGAATGTTTATATAAATTTACCCAGCTCATGTCTAAAAATATCAAATCGATTAGCAAGACCTTTCGATTAAATATCGATCAATGATGGTTACTAAAAAGCTGGATTGAATTATTACTGCATTTGAACAAACTAAGAAAAAATTATAAATACATGTATGGTAGCTATTAATCATGAATATATGGATCCGAAACAGTTAATTCCCCTAATCAATTTAGATAGTTATTATAATCCGCGATGTGACTATTCGAAATTTTACCGATTGACCAATTTCAAATATTCCAATACGACACCAAATATTGTTTCCTAAATCTCCAATATATCAGAACACAACACCGTTAGATGAAAGTTGTTTATGGGATCAGAATGCAGAATACAGAATAGTCAAACTTTACAGACAATGCTTATTCATACAACTAGGACGACAGTGAATATTAACCAATAGCAAACGACGGGTGAAATTATACAGTTAGGACGACCGTTAAATATTGACCAATAGGAAAACGTCATGTGACATGTGAAAAGTCTGGAAACAACGATGGCATTTGACATAGAAAATAATGACGAGAAATCTAACTTAACTAAATCAGGGTCCAACGCTCGTTGTATTTTAGGTACTTGTGAAGAAATACTGTTTAGACACTGTTTAGAGTTAACATCATCTATCAACTTATTGAAAATAATGTATTTAATTGAAAAAGTTAGACCACCGAACTTACCACTATCAGCTGCCAAATAATTGACCACTTCAACACGATCAAAATAAATGACAACTCCACCACTGATTACAGTAAAGAAGAAGACGAAGAAGAATGAAAATAGACAATCAATATTCAATGATCAATATGATAGCACAATAAAAATCAATCAAAATCTAGATGGATTATAGTTAGTAATATTTTAAATGCCAAGCAACTTTTCGTATTTAATTGAACGAACATATTTAAACTTTTCATGAGATAAAATGCTCTAACTAGAAATAATGCCAAATTGTTTAAATAATTACAAGATATTTGTCAGTATAACCTGAAAAAATTTAAGCATGATACATAAATTACTACCCATTAGAAAGTTATCTCCAAATATTCTGATCAACTAAAACTTCCAAATTTGTTTATACAGGTACAGTAAGAGACATCCAACTTGAGTTATTTAGATGACTTCTTACAAAATTAGAATAACATACCTTCAAATAGTCATTAGATAGCAACCATTATCATGATTACGTGTCTAATAAATTTTTAATTGATCAGAACATTTTCTTTTGTTCTTTGATCATTGAAGAAAGCGAAATTAAACACCTTGTATTAACTAATCAAAACCGTACGATAACTTTAATTGGTACACAAGTAATGGTTGCATAAAATACTGGGTTTTTTTAATGCAGTCAGTCAGTCAGTCAGATGCAACGTAGAACTTCGTACGTAAGTACATCAGTTCATGTCGCCATACCACATCAGCACAGAGATGTAATTGTCAATTCAAATCCAATAGTAGAAGAGGTAGTAAAAGTATTAGAAGTAATCGGAGAGGTTAGGATTTGAAGATATTATTCAAGAAGTATAATTCAGTGAGAAAAGTTTAGAAAGTCAAAACTAGAGGTGTTGAAGAATCCAGAAGATTAGGATTTGAGAGAACACAAAGAATAAATGCACCTGCACCAATGCAAACGATTTTGAACCATGTTGTTCAAGGTCTCTAACCATCAGTGACTTTCGTCTCGCGGACACCAACCAGGTAGCCTACATCTACCAACATGACTCAGTCCACTTGTCAGTGACTTCATGGATTTCTGCCATGTTTCGGTTTGGCCGCCACTAGCTTTCTTCCAACCTACTCCTGCACTGCTAAACATCGCTCGTCGCGGCAGTCAGTGATTAGGCATACGTAACACATGTCCCAACCACCTCAACTGATGAAGTTTCACTACTTCATCTATTGATTATCCGTCCCTACCTAGAACTCGTTTCCTAACGACAGCATTGTTTATACGGTTGTCCCAGGATACACGAGCAATGCTTCGGAGACATCTGTGATCGAAGACTAGTAACCTACGAAAGTCCTCTACTCTTAACGGCCATGTTTCGCATCCGTACAGTAGAACGGAGCGAACTGCTGCACAGAACACTCGTCCTTTGGTTAGCGAGCGGACATCCCGCCTGCGCCATAGGTGACGCAGGTTGGCAAAGGCCAACCCAGCCTTCTGTATCTGTGCTGAGATTTCTTCAATCACCAGGCCATTAGCACTGATGAGACTCCCCAGATACGTAGAGCGGTCTACACGTTCGACTACTTCACTCCCTAGCGATTATCATCAAGCTATGGATTATTGAATTTGTAGTCAAATATTTTAACTTCTGGGCCAAGATTTTATCTATTATCATTATTTAAGCACATGATTATTAGTACAAAGAGACTCCTAAATACTTATGCACTACACATCACTGAGGTTGTGTATGTACTAGGATACTCTACAAGCGACTGATTCAGAACAGGTGATTTTCTTACGGACCACTACTCAAGTCAATCACTTACAGATCTAACCCACAAGGCAACAGAGCAACGTTCCTTGGTGACCGATGACCAACAACGGGTTCAGATATCATTTCTTTACCTTAGGATTCAAGAGTTTATGTGCACCACTGGTTTGGAATCAAGATTTTCCAACTCTACATAATGGATTCTTCGTATCCATTAACATGATTTAAGCACTGGAAATTTGCTTTTCGTTTTCCAAGTTCCCCAGAATATACTACATCCCGAAAAGTCGGTGAACAGGACTTTGTTGGCAGTGACTATGCACACGAAACCACATAACAGTATTTTGAGAGAGTGAACCAACTGTTCACATTCTTGGCCATACCAGAGCATTTTAGGGAATATGTATTTCACTGTACATATTCTAGATTGTATGACAGCGTAGTAACCTTTGCAATTCATGTATGAAATGAACATTGTTTTGATAACCAAGTCATATCATTTCACTTCACCGAAAGACAATAGTGATTATAATAACGCTAAATCTTAACATATCATTCTTGCCATTACCTACAATTATTAATATTTAATATGCAAAAACGATTAGGAGTCATTATTTACAATAGTGTGTTTTAGTGTTCATCCTACAGCATAAAATGCCTTCTTGTACATATAAATACAGAGACGAACATCTAACAGCTTAGATTGTGGAACAGTAGATATATCATTTAGGTTAAATTCTAAAAAGAGGAATACCAAAAATAAAATTGAAAATAATCACAGGAGAGCAGAATCGAAAATGTTGTAAGTAGAAAAATTTGCCTGGTAAATACATGCATACCATAGTAGTTTAGTTCAAACTAACAAACCTAATTTACAGAAAAATTGGTAGCTATTATTGTGTCGATGAAGATGTGTGAGGACGCTATTGCCATCGTTTTACTTTTACTATCCAACAGTACGAATGTGAAATTTCAAGTCTTAGCTTTCAATACTTATCAATTGGATTTACTATTATCATTACACTTTAAAGTAAACACAGAGTATTACAAGGGTTTGAGTCTAATTTTTTGCATTATGGTAAATGATACTGACTTAAAATAAACAAGTACATAGATGGAGAAAATTTGTAGTTCAGGTACATGATTGTCGTGGAGTTTCGTTCTATAAATTCAGATAATACCACAAACAAGTATATAGAGCAAAGTTTATAGCTTTAACCTTGAATTAGCGAAGCTTAACCACCGAGCTTTACATCAACCCCATGCTTTTACATAATGTGGATTTGGTTCTAATTGCAACCAGATCACATAGAACGTGGTGACAGCTTGAGAGTGAAATTTTTATGGCCGTACTATAATAACAAGGAAGGTGAATCATTAGATCCAAATAAGAACACAATTGAAATATACTTTAGTCCTCCTGAAAGCGTTTTCCATTATTTAAGGACACGAACTATCAATCACATTAGGACAACAAACTAGCATGATCGTCACGTCCACGTGGCTGTTGCGGTGATAAAAATTAGTTGCAATACATCAGAGAGAGACGTGATAATTTCTGAAGTATATGAGCATCAAAATTTAATAGTTTTGTAATCTGTAGAGCGTTCGATAATGTTATTCACAGACTAACGTACAAAGATCGTACCAGTTGGCTGGGATTCATTCTAACATTAAGATAGAAAGAATCTAGGGTGCCAGGGTTTAATAGTTTGCACAATCATATCAAGTAACATTTTGATTGCAATATCAGTTTTGAATTCAGAAGACAAACAAAGGCACATAATTGTCATTAAAATTACCTCGTACCACAAGGAACATTCTTCACTTCATCGGTTTGCAAAGTAATCTGATTAACAAAATGTGTTCTCAAAAAACTCAATTCATACCTGTACAGACTTGTATGTAGTTATGATGGGAAGCATCAGATGATAACCGGGTCCATTGGTTTGAGAAAGCAGGGCACCACCACGGTAGTACACACCAACATGACCTGTTTTTGTGAATTTTTGCTGGCAAACTAACCTTCATCAATTTGATGAAAAGACATTCCAAGTAAAATACTCCATAAGGCGAAAACTGCAGCGAAAATTGGTAACAATGACTGGCAATTTTCCATTCCACAAGACTTTCTATGGCAAATGCAGTTAGCTACTTGGAACCGGCTAAAATAACGGGAAGCTGGACCAGATGGATCTGTAGTTGAGTGTAAAATAAAAGTCCGGTTACAAACGGATTCATAGAGATCGATTTCATATTTCAAAAGACTCATCACAGTAAATTTTATAACTTGAAATTAGCCAGAAACTAAACAGTAATATCGTGATGGAAGAGATTTCGTAGCAGACAACTGAAAATGATGCAAGGACAATGTTCCATTGTATCAGTGAATGGGTACTTACGTCAATAGTAGAGACGCGCTTATTTCTGGAGCCTAACGACACTAATTACTCTTCCAATCCAATCAATATACATGAAATAGTGCCGGAACTAGTCAACACTCGTAGTAACAGTTAAGGTTTGGAGTGACAATACCAGGATTAACTATGACATATACCATGATTTTGGTTGTGAGCTCAAAAAGTTGCGAGTACTCAAGTTAGGCAGTTCCGTATTAGGAATAAAAATTGATCAATTTATATGTGATTCCAAACCCATTATCTCCACCAAAGCTTCAGATATTGCTTAAGCTGAGACACGGCTAACACGCGTTTAAAGGACTTTGTAGAAAAACGGAAGTTGTACATACTTCAGGCCCGAAATTTTCTAAAGACAGAACAGTCTTTTGTCTTCCGAAAAATTCGAAGTTTTTAGATTCCTCATAAACACCCTAGTTTCTATTTCACCGACTTACATTTCTGTCTTGAGTCTTATCTACTACCACAAATACTGTTACTAGCTATCCGGCTATAGGATTCCCCCTGACGATCTTATCTTGCTGAGCTAGTAGGGTATGAAGACTTGAAACAATCAACATGTGCCAGGTTTTACGTTGAGGATGAGTAGCTGACTATACATTAAATTACCAGTAAATGAATCTATAGCGTAGAACACTAGGGGGGTTAGACTGACCCGTTAGTAATAAGGAAATGAAATTACCTTGTTTACCAAGTTTGGGTATGAACCACACTGCGGGAGGGTTAATAGTACTGTCGAAGTGTTCAAACTGAAGATGGGGAACGGTCCGAACATAAAGCTTGACGGTTCAAAACTGAGCGCCCTAACCGATAAACCACCGACTGAAAACATGTTACATTGATATAACTGTTCACTACACTGTGAGGGCAACTCCGGAATAAGTCCTCTTTTGGAGTGAGTATTATTTTTACTGAACACTGGTATTATGCACATATGCTTTTAGAACAGGTGGAAGCAAAGTGTGAAAACCAAACCACTACTTCAGATGGAAACTCGTGCATTTAATTTAGCACACAAAGGGCATTCGGGAGGTTTGAAATTTCGTCATATAAGTCCGGGACCTACTAAAATTTAGGGAAAATATTGGGATTTCCCAAAACCGAATCATAACATTTCAACAACAGGTGCGAACACTGTGCTAGATCCGGGAAAACCCCAAACGTGGGAAAACCTTGATGTTTTTATTGTTTGATTTTTCAAAAAAAATTTCCAATTTCGTCTCAAAGTTTGGAGCGCTAACCCTGAAGATTCAGATCAAACCCTAGCACTGAAAACAATATTATTGCTTAACTTTGGTAAATTTAGAAAAAATCAGAATAGCAAGTCTTGTGTTAGCGCTTTATAAATGTTATTGTTGGGATGTCGGTACATCAGAATACTTACAATGTATAACTACTACACACACCACAAGACAAGTCAGCTGGTAATTAAGGCTGTATTGACCTTGAGCACCGAAATGGTCAATTCATATTCCAATACCCAATATCTTTTCACAAACTAGTATAAACCAATTGATTTCCATCCACTTGATTCTTGTTCTTTCGGTAGGGTTACATGTACTTTTAGTGTCCAATGGATGGGGCTCTAGCCACTCGACTGCATCCAATATCTAATCCAATATCTTTTTCACGAGCTAGTGTAAACCAGTTTGATTTCTTCGCGCTTGATTCTTGTTCTTTCGGTACGGTTCCAGGTGTTCGGTAATGTCCAATGGGTGGAGGTCTAGCCAATCGACTGCCTAATTCTAGTCAGTTGGCAGTTGGTTGTGAGTTTGTATGTCACGGGATTTGAATGAAACGTTTGTTTCAGGGCAGTAGGGTTTCTGGATACTAGCAGCCGTCACATTACCAAACCGGAGATCAGTTAGTTGCGATGTGGAGAGTAATAAGGGTAATAAGGATAGAATTCTAATGATAAAATGAATAAAATTTCAGAACTGAGTAATATATAGATGAATTTAGTTTATTAATTGGTAGTGAAGATTGTGAGAGAGGACAGAAGTGTAAGCAAGGGAGAGGAAACAGAGATAATAGGCGAGATAGATTAATTGAGTGATCTGAGGAGATGGCAATGGTAACAACTAGCAGGTCTCAAGATATGCATCAGGCACAGCTTGTCCAAGAGGGAGATGATAGTCCATATGTGAGTACGTGATCATCAAGTCTCTTCTTAAAGCTGTCCACTGAGAGGGCTGTGGTCACCTCGGCTGGGAGAGCACTCCAAGTTGCGACGACTCGCAATGAGAAAAAGTGTGCACGAATCTGAGTTTTCGCTCTCTGATTGCCTCGAGGGGAATGGTAGTGATGGATCGGTAAGACGCTCACGTTGAGATTGTTTGGCATGATTATTATGTTGTACGCCACAGTAATATTACTTCCGATTCTACTGTAACTCAGAGGGATTAATCGCATGTGCTGGGGTCTATCTTCGTAAAGTTTATTCTTCCACCCTATCACCCATTCCGTTTTTAGTCTCTGCACTCGATCCAATAGATTTATGTCTCTTTTAAGCAGAGGGGGCGCGATGACGTTGTGAACCTCCAGATGTGAGCGCACCTATGTCTTAAATAACGTTAGGAATAACTCAGGGGTGATAACACTTAGTTGTCTTCACATAATGTGAAGAGTTGCATTTGTCTTGGCTGCGTCCCCTACATAGTTTGAGATTCTGTGGAGGATTTTTCTGCTTATTAAACCGAGATCGCACTCTGAGGAGACATTCGGGAGCGGACTTTCATTGAGGGTGTAAATCGTTTGCGTCATGTGGGGCAGAATGTAAGTGACGTAACACTTGGTTGGTTTAGTTTCAAACCGTTTTTTACTGCCCATTCCTCAATGGACGTGAGGTCCTTTTGAAGCTTAGTTGAATCCTCTTAAAAGTGCCTCAGTGGCATGTTTGTAGACTAGCTTTATTTAGTAGTACATGTCCAGTTAGTATTTATGTATATTTATAAGTCCAAAAATCACATAAAGCCATGTCTTCCCGTATTTTATGCATGATATCTAAGCTCTAGAACCTGTACACGTACCTAAGGAAGCTGCTCTTCAATTACTCATTAACCTCAAACCTGGTAAGCCACATGCTCCTGATCGGTCACATGAACGACTGCTACCGTTTCTTGCAGATACTATTGCAGATG